ACTCTGTCTCAAAAAAAAAAAAAAATAACATTCAAACTCACTAGTAGAGAAATGCAATTTAAAATAACTGAGAGTACACTTAATATACCCATTAGAATTGCAAATACTAGAGAGTTGCATAATATTAATTGTTGGAAAGGGTATGAGGTAATAAGAACTTTCAATAATAATGCTGAGACTGTAAAGAGCTACAGACCTGGGTTTTCTCGTTAGGTTTTAGTTTTTGGGCTTTTTTTTTAGTGTCTTTGTTATCAAGGCTGGACTCAAACTCCTGGGCTCAGGCAGTCCTCCCACCTCAGCCTTCTGAGAAGCTGAGACTACAAGTGTGTGCCATGCCCAGTTTACAGCTACAGACTTTCTGAAAAATAATCTGGTGCTACTTAGTAAAATTGAGTATGCATATACCTTACCACAGAATTCCACTAAGAGGAATGTGTTCCAGAGAAATTCTTGAACTGTCTGACAGGGGACTATGTAAGAGATAACTGCCTAGCATTTTGTGTAGAAGTCAGGAATGGGTAAGTATAACGGATGCCTACCATGGAATCCTATGCTATGCAGCAATTATAAGCAATGAATTAGATTATAAGCAGCAATAAGGATGAATCTTAAAAACTGAATTGATCAAAAAAAGTAAACTAAACCCGCCGGCCACAGTGGCTCATGCCTGTAATCCCAGCACTTTGGGAGGCCAAGGCAGGCAGATTACCTGAGGTTGGGAGTTCAAGACCAGCCTGACCAACATGGAGAAACCCTGTCGCTACCAAAAAAAATACAAAATTAGCCAGGTGTGGTAATCTCAGCTTTTTCTAGAGACAGGATCTCACTACATTGTCTAGGCTGCTCTGGAACTCCTGGCCTCAAGCGATCTTCCCAACTGGGGCATCCAAAGTGCTGTGAAGGACCCCTGTAACCCTAACCTGCACAATGTAGCTAGATCCTGTCTCCACACACACACACACACACACACAAATACAAAAATTAGATGGTGGCAGGTGCCTGTAGTCCCAGCTACTTGAGAGGATGGGATGGGAGGTTCCTTGACTCAGGGGGCTGAGGCTGCAGTGAGCTGAGATCCCACCACTGCACTCCAACCTGGGTGACAGTGAGACCCTGTCTCAAAAATGAATAAATAGTAAAATTAGTAAGAGTGAATGAGCGCTGGGATATGTAAAGGGAGGGGAAGGAGTTAATGAGTAACTCCTAGGTTTCTGGCTTGTGTAATAAGAACCCCTGTGAATGAGGGGGAAATTTTTTTTTTTTTTTTTTTTTTTTTTTTTT